CTAACTTACAATCCCTACCGGTCCACCTGGGTATCAACCTAAAGTTTCACGGGAAGTCGAGAATTTTCCCTGTTTTGTTTGCTTTGTCGTAAAGTGAAGTGTCTCATCTGGAAATGCAGAGGTTGCACAATTAACAAGCGCTTGTGCTAGAAATTTTACTGGTGGTCAGTTGCGCTCTGCTCTTTTTAAATACTTTCAAGGTAATCGCTTTTTCATCAAGCTTTTATACGCTATCAATCACAAGACAGAGGAGGCTCAATTCCTCAGCCAACTTTTTTGTTTTCAGATATGATGTATTTGTAGTCATACGAAAAATAATCTAGTCAATATGTCAACTGCTGTGCTTTCCTTTATCCGAGGAATAGACTTTTCTAGAAATGATTTCTCCGTAAGTTTTCTCTTTGATTTATTAGCTAGCAAATGCTGTTTGATCATTTCATTTGGCTTAGATTATGGTTAACTTAAGATGTGCCATATTTGCCACTTTTTTAAGGGCGATCGTTTTCCACACGCCGTCGAGCAAATGACTCAAATGACATGGTTAAAGTTGAATCGAGCGAAGTTGGAACGAGTAAGACAACTTTCAATTATTTTCCTGGCTCAAAAGTATCGTTAAGTTTCTGATCGTGTCGTTTATGCCTTAGTATCATAAGAAATTTGAGGTGCCAGATGAACTTTCTCGGTGTACAAATCTTGAACATTTGCAAATGTCAAGGAATTCCTTATCCAGTGTTCATGGCGAACTGTCTGATCTTCCCAGACTGAGATCTGTGATAGTTCGACATAACCAGGTTAGATCTCTTCTCTTCTGTGTGTGATGTTGACAAATGATGACTATTGCGCCGTAAAGGATCGCCTTCGAGGTAGCGGCTATTGGTTGAAAGTGCATACGAAGGGATATAGGGAGGGAAGAATTCGGTTAAAAAGACCTATTTTTCAAACATCCCACATCCTTGGGACAGTGACCTGCACTCATGAAACAAGTATGTGGAAATTTTGGCTTCCTCTTCCAAGTGTAGGGGCTTTATTCCAAACGACAGTAAGCGGGTGGCTTGCTGTATCGCATTTTAACATTACTGTCTTAAAGTTCCACCATTTAATCGATCATTTGAAACCATTTTTCTCACGAGTCGCCGTTGTAGTGAGTCATATGCCCATCAGGATTTGTATCAGGTATTTCGAATACTGTATGCATTCGAGAAGCTGGGAGGTTGAGAATGCTACATAAATGCTAGTATTCAATCCAGAGGGTAGTTACAGCTTGGTGCAATGTTAATCTATAGTCACCGTGGAAAAGGACTATTTCCAGGAACGACTTTCTTATCGCATTTGTTTGTATTTTTTATTGTCTATTACTGGTATAACTGATTTTCAGGTCAAAACGGCTGGTATTCCCACTGATATTTTCCGTATGAAAGACCTGACCATTATTGACTTTTCACATAACCAACTACGAGAAGTTCCTCCAAACCTGGAATATGCCCGAGGTGCTATAGTTCTTAACTTAAGTCACAACAACATCGAGAACATTCCGAACCAGGTCGGTCAATGGCTAGATTTTTCTCAGCATTACAAGGATTTTCCATTCACTTTTTCCATATTTGAATCGCTTTTGCCGTTGAAGGTATTCTCGAATCTGATTGATCTATTGTTCTTGGATTTGTCCAACAACAAATTGGATATGTTGCCCCCTCAAATACGAAGGCTTACTATGCTGCAGGAGTTGAAACTGTCAAATAATCCTCTCCATCATTTTCAACTGAAACAACTGCCCAGGTTTGATAACAGTCATATCATGTATGATCATAACTTAATTGATTTTATTTTCAGCATGACATCACTGCGAGTCCTACACATGCGTAACACCAATCGTACCCTCGAAAACATTCCTCCTTCCCTAGATGATTTAGAGAATCTCAGAGTAAGTATCTCTTTCACGGTTTCATGCTACAGTGGGTCAAAATCGAACATCTTTTAGGACATCGATTTTGCTGAAAATAATCTCCCTGCCATACCAGAAGCTTTGTTCAAGCTGAAAAACTTGAGGAAGCT